CCACAGGGGCTCCCAGCTCCACCCTGTCCACAGGGGCTCCCAGCTCCACACTGGGACCCCCCTTTGACAGGAGGTGCTGTCACGAAGTAGCCTCTCTGTGCGGTGGCCAGGGCTGACTGCGAACAGAGACTGCTGCAGCAGCAGCCCCTGTCCGCGGAGGGTCCCAGATCTCCACTGGGAACCCCCATGGACAGGGGCTGCTCTCTAGGATGCAGAACAGCCTCTGCTCATGGCAAGCCTGGGCCCACTTCAGGCAGAGGCTGCTTTGTAGCAGCCTCCCCTGCATCGCCCCCTCTAGGCAGCAGCATGGGGGAAAGGGGAGCAGGCAGCACCAAGGAGAAGGAGCCTAGCCCATCTAGGTTCTTATCCACACTTCCAGTGGCCAACTCTTGCAATTTGATTACAAAACATGAGATATTCAGTGGTGGATTTTTTTTAAACCCAGCTCCTGGAATCATGGGAGTGTGTGAGACTTTTAAAGGAAGTAAGCATCTTCCCATGGGTTAGGCTCCAATTTGGACATAGAGGTGAATGTTCACAGTAATCATAAATCTGAATAAAATCCATGATGAGCCCACCTCATACTTGCCTACCTCAATAGCTCCTGTCCCTCAGGGCTAGACCTGGCTCTCAATCCCTGGTGTCACAACCTAGAACATGTGGTTGCAGCAACTCAGATTTGGTCCATCCACTCTCAGTAGATTGAGACACACTAGCAGATGCCAAACCTGAGCAGGGTTCAACCATCTGTCCCAAGTTGCAGTAGGGATGTGAACGACTAGTCGAGTATCCAATAAGCAATTGCTTATCGGATAGTCAGCACACTAGTCGACTAGTCGGTTCCCCTCACCTTTGCTGCCTCTATCAAAACGAGGCAGCAAGGGGTGGGGGACAGAAGAGAGTGCTTCAAAGCATTAGTGTTGTGTGGAGCCCGGGGTGGCTGGGAACTCCCACACTGGCCCTGGGCTCCATGTAGCCCTGTCACTTTGAAATGCCGCATGGAGCCTGACACTGTGCTCTCCGTGGCATTTCAAAGCAACAGTGCTGTATGGAGCCCAGGGTCAGCTGAGGACGACCCGGGCTCCATGCAGCACTGCCACTTTGAAACACTGCGAGGAGCACGGGGCCAGCGGGGTCCCCCTGGGGCCATTGCTACACTTCAAAGGCAACTAATCGACTAATTGAATAATCGATGCAAATTGCATCGACTATTTGATTAGCCCATTAATCTAAATTTAACATCCCTAGGTTACAACACCCAAAATGGGGAGCCAGGGCAGGAGCTACCACTGCAAGGTGAGCGTGTTATGAGCTCTGCCTCAAACACCCCCAGCCTACTGTGATTTATCATTTCCCCAACATCTCTGCCATGAAGTTTGCTAAAAAACCTCCATGTCAAATTCACAGTTGCCAATAGCTACTGAGAAAACCTTGAGCACCTTCTACAAGATGCTCAGGAATTGGAAGGCAAGAAACTCAAAAGTGTAGTATGTAAACCAATCTTTTTAGGGGGAGGGAGGCTAACCTGTGGTTTCTGAACACTGTAAGTTGGTATAATTCAGCATTGGCCATGGCAAAAATTGCCCCTGCTTGGAAAGGGTCCTGATGCCACATGTTAATGGCAATAATATCTAGTTCTTCTGTGGCAGTTTCCCAGAGTATTTTGGAGCCCTGTGGCGGACGATTTGGGGCATAAGCTTTTGTGGATCAAAACTACTCTGGTCAGATGCCTCTGATGAACTGATCTCCAGCCCACAAAAGCTGTTGCCCAAAGAAATGTGTTAGTCTCTAAGCGCTAGCGCTGTTAAATATTGGTTAATTGGATAGTCGATTAACTTCATGAATTCTTATCGTTTACTCGACTATGCTATAGTCACCGGGGGCAGGGCTGGAAGCCAGTGTGCTCTGTCCCCACTCCCGAGGAGTCCCCTGCCTTTCCATGCTGCTGCCTCTGTATCAGAGGCAGCAGCAGCATGGCTCCTGGACCCAGCGCAAGCCAAAACTGAACTGAACTGAACCCAGGCTGCCTGCCTGGTTCCTAATACACTTTCGATGCAGAGCCGCAGCGGGGGCAGGTCCTGCCCCCAGTGTGAGCCAGGACTGAGCTGGGCTGCTGGCCAGCCGGCTAAGAAAGGTGCCGACGGGGGGATGTGGGTAGTCGATAGCAGTAACCGATCAGCATTTCCTTGTCAGTTTATTGGCTAATCACTACTCTATTACTTGCCTGCTAAGCGCCACAGGACGCCGCCTTGGCTGCCCCGAGTCCTGCCTGAGGAGGCCAGTAGCGTTGCCCCCACTTGACAGCAGGACGACGGGGGAGGGGAAGGGACTTGCCCAGGGTCTCCCAGTCCAGCGCTCCCTCCATTAGGCCTTGCTGCCTCCTTACCATGGGCCCATCCTGAGCGCCCTGCAGGCGCTCTGGCACGGCGGACAGTGCCCGGGGACGTCGCCATGGCAACAGCCACAGGCGCTCTGGCGGGAAGGGGCAAGATCACGCACACGCACGGGTGGCCGCCGCGAGGAATTGTGGGTACCAACTGCGGGTATTGGTCGCGGCAGACCGCAGCCTACTCCCGCCCTTCCCAGCGTGGAGCGGTGATGACGCATAAACTCTGCGCCTCGTGCCTGGGCGAATCCGAACGTTACGCTTAGCCAAGCGTGTTACGAAGTTGCTAGTGGCCGGCGCTATATTCGGGGCGCCGCGCGCTGCGGACGGTGGCCGAGAGAGGACACGTTTCCTGCCTTTCGGCCCCGTAGCCATCTCAGTGATGCCGTTGGCTCCGGCGGGGCCGGCGCACTTGGTGCGCTGCGGGCAGAAGGATGAGCTGTACCGGAGCGGGCTGCGCAGCGGGGCCGGCGCAGCGCTGCACGGGCTGACGGGTGAGGGGATAATGGGGGAATATAAGGGGGGGCTCGCCGTGGGGGGAGGGGCTAAA